GGAAATATCTTGCTTGACGTACCTTACATACTGAACGCAGTCCCATATGAGCAGGCAAAATCAGACACGGTGGCCAATATCTTAGAGGATGCTTTTTGAATTATTAAATTCACAGGGACATCATAATCTTGAGTTTCTGGATCCTTCCCTCTAGATTTGTTTCTACCTTTATAAGGACACAGCTTTTAGGATGCAACTATAACAAGATTTATCAGTCTTAACGCAATACATATAAATGAAAGTCCTTAGGATGGTGTTAAAGAAAAGATCACGGCATTACTAAAACCAAAAGGAGTTGATCTCTTTAGAAGCATTAATGTGCTTCAGATAAGATGGAATGAACCCAAATCAATCCAATCAGATCAATGAACCCGATTTTAAAAATATTGCACCTCATTCACAAGCATTTTCATCTTCCTAAATTAGTTTGGAACAAGACTATGGGTCTACAGCCATGCCAATAGCTCTGTGAGGCTGTATAGGCACAGCTGTGCTATTGAGCTAAATGCCAACACCAACATGCTAACATGTGCACATTGACAATGCTAACATGCTGAGGCTAAGCAGATATAATGTTGTCTATGTTCACCAACTTTGTTTAGCATATTAGCATAGCAGTATTTGCTAATTAGTAGGGTTGGGTTTGATATTGAGCCAAATACTGGACCAGTAATACTGAATTTTACCCCTAGGTGTCAAATGTAACTCAACTGCTCACGACTGGAACCTGATGAGAGCCATGAATAAGACACCTTCCTACAAATGTTTCATAATAAAAGCCTTGTTAAGAAAAGAAGTGTTCCTCTACACTCAAGCCTGAGGGCTTAGTTTTGCAGGTATGTAGTATTGGATTTATTAAAATTTTGACCTGATGATGAGGCTAGAGGAAAAGTCAGAGGATCTAAAAGTTATTACTATTCATCCTAAGGGGAACATAGTGTACGTATATGAAAACTCTGGATGCTTGAAACATGGGCCACTGATTTGTTTTTGATTGGTTGTTTTCGTTCAGGGAGCACTAGGAGGAGCCAGAGGAACCTGATACTTTCACACATTATCTGTCTCATACTACTGTCAGGATATAGAGAACGTTACCTACTGCAGCTTTAATAGACTTTGTATCTATTGAAGTGATATTCTTATTTTTGAGGACTCTTAGAAGAACAGCACAGTTTGTTTGAAAGAAATCATAATCAAATCAAATCAAATCAAATCAAATTACTCATTAGCACAAGTCAATGTGTAAAATGTAAAAATATTCCTGATTAAGAGCAGTAACACCACAATAACATTTTGATATCAGCTGGAAATTCTGGTATGATGGTGTTAGTCAGGGGGTCAAAAATGTGAAATTATGCTCTGGGGAAACTAATATTCAAAACAAAAATCATCACAATCTGGCCAGTGAGTTGGATGAGTTACTTTTGCTATTGAACAGGCAAACAGGTTAACAAACTGACATAAATATCCTCACTCTGGTAATAACTTGAGCAAAATTATTGAGCGTTTGTGGCATGCATTCATTCTTATTGTATAGAAAATGAAGACATTAAGTAATGTGATGTTTTTATAATATAGTGAATAAAGGAATAAAGTGACACACTGCTGATTTGGTTAACCATCAACGCACAAGTGGTACGACCCAGGAAGCTAAGAAGTGAAACAGAGACAGTGTAAGAACATATAAACAGCCAGTGTGTCAGTCTTGCTGCAGTATTTCCTCACAAAACTCTATACGAGCTCTGAATGCTTATGCAACTGACTGTGATGAAAAAACAAAACCAACTGGCAGTGCAAACAACAAGATAAAGGGATAAAAGAAATGACAGATGTTTGGACCAATTCATTTTAATGAGATGCTAATCTGCCTTGCTGAGTACAGTCAGAGAGAAAAGTGCCAGCGCGGGTCTCCTCAATGATCCTAATCTCACAGATAAACCAAATGACAACTTCATGCGTCTGAACCACACTTACCACATAATCTACCGTCCTACTGCAGGAAGTACTGAAGGACCAAATAGTCAGGCACTTTAAAAATATAAAAGGAACTCTATGTACAATTCATGAGCATCCTTCAAGTGTTGCAAGAATCTTAAATGATGTAAGAGGAGAGAGATTTTACACAATAAAAACACCCCTCCCCCACAACCATGACAAGCCTGAAAGAGACAGACTTACATTTACAAAGTGGATGCCCATCTGATTACAGGTCAGATACACCAAGGCTCCAACCTCTGTGTGAGTGTGTGTAAGGTGTGTTATTGTATCCCAGTGCAGTTAAGACAGAGAGGCTGAGTGAGCTAACTCAGTTAGAGCAACTGGACAGAGACAAAGGGCAGTGTACAGAAGCTCAGTGTTGGTTTGTCGAAGCCATCACTTAATGTCCGTCAGTCAGCAGTAGTCATGGGCCTGGTGCTATTTGAAGCACTAGAGAAAGTTCAGTCTTTTGCATACTTTTTTTTGCATACAAAAGAATACTAGTTTATTTCTCTTTGCATCCTACATTCGCCCCTCTCACAAAAATCCTTGCTGTCATTATCTGGGGCAGTCACAATATCAGCTGTTCTCATCAGCTGGCCACGTCTATCCAGTGGCACAGCTACACGTCATTTGCCACTGTAGTTTTAAATGTGATTCTCTCTCTGTCTTCAGTTCATTTGCGCATTCATTCATCACTGCCAAGCCTCAGCAGAGTCATCAGCCACCACCACCAGTGTCAGGACTCCATAGGGGGATTGATCTTACTGCTGCTCAGGGCAGACGGCCCTCCATCACAAAAATCTCAAAAAGACCTTGTCAAGACTTAATCATCACATATCAGGTTATAATGAACAGTTATCTTTACTTCACTCACTTGGCACTCCTGATTGAAATGTTCTTCAGTGGAGATATCCATCAAGTTCTGACACTTGAAGCAAAAACTGAAATTAGAATCAACCAGGACACTGAGTACCATCTAGGAGCTCAACTATATTGTAAAATGTGAGCCTAGCCTGACTGTGCCAGGTAGTTTGTTACACAGAACCATCTGGGAAGTCTTCCTTGGAACTCTCAAAAACATGCAGGTAATTGGATGAACCATCTGTCTATCACAATCTATCAATCAACCAATCAGATCAATGAACTGTATAACGTAGTCAAACTCTTACTGAAGTCAGTCGGGAGATAAGAGAAAACATCTTTACCATGGAGAAAAGCCTTCAGTGCACTTCTCTGCTCTTCTTTCAATAAAGAAACACTCTCCAATTCTGAAGCTAGCTGTGCTCACCTCTTTAGCAGCCATCATTGTTGTTTTTGAGCAAACAGTCACTTCTTATACACGTCGCCACACACACATAGCGTGAAACCACTCCCGTTGCTCATGCTGTAGCTGCCAGTAGTTCAGAAGCACTGTGGTTTGAACACAAGCACACTTTGCTTAAAAGAAAGCTAAACAGAATACTACAAAGTGCACAATTTTGTTGTTTGTTTCAGACTTCCCCCGACAGTCTCCTCAACGCTCCCCCGGCTCTATAATACATCCATGATCTCTGCACACACACACATGGAACCTTCCTCACATTAACACATAAAACTAACACAATATACACACATATTTCCATCCTGTTCTCTGCATTCTTTTTCACCGTTTGAGCTTCCACCGCAACTCTTATGATTACATCATATTGTTCCACCCTCTTCTTCTGGTTTTCCGACTGGAGAATTGGCACCACCTACAGCTTATCTCCTGAGCCAACGGTAGTAGATGAAAACAAGCATACATTTGCATTTTCTCCCGATTTGTAAAATTTGGTTTACATTTGCTGTACATTTGGATGGAAACACGGCTACTGATACTGATATTCTCACCTCACTCTGGAAAGACACCTACAAATTTGGCAAAATCTTCCCATAATGTTTCATTTTGTCTTATCAATTAATACATATTAGCAAAAACATGTATGACACTGATCAACTATATAGTACAAGTTACAGGCTACATTAAATTAGATAGCATAAAATTCAGTTTTTTAAGCAAATATCAACCCACTGTGTTATATCATATATCGTATTACACTTAAGTCCAACAGTTAACAGATCCTGAATGGTAGAGTGTTTAAATGACACATTTCTTGTTTGTGACCAATGCAATCTGGCATATGTCTCTCTCAAGAGGCTGCAAGAAAACAAAGGATGATGCAGATGACTGAACAAGTTGTCACAAGCGTATGTGTAAGAAAGATGTGGACAGAGTGAATATTTAAGGTTACCCAGGCTATCCAGCTGAGCCTTGTCCTCCTCCCGCTTCTTCTCTCAGGGTGACTGGGAGACAGCAGTCCCAGCTGGAGACACATGCCGTCCATCACACACATATAAAAACATTCGCTGTGTGTTCTCTGTCTGCAGCGTCTGACAGCTCTGATCGGCTACAGTGAACAGCAGGCATATCCCCCTCCAATGCTCTCCCTCCTTTGCTCTCCTTCTCATTCGGCCCTCCAGGAGGTTTGACCCAGTGCTTTCCACTCCTCGTCTGAGCTCCAAAAACCTGAATGGCTTACCTGGAGTGGACTCTCTTCTGCTATCTCTACTCCTCCCTCCCTCCCTGTCTCTTTTCCTATGACGGTTATTTTTATTCCTTTGTCCTCAGGAAGCAAGTACAGATCAAGTTCTGGGTCCATCAGCATTTCCAGAGGCCCACAGCAGCAGAATGGGATGGTAAACACTGAAATCCAATCAGCTGGACACCCTCTTGATAACAGGGTCTGACTGATATAGTCTTCAGAAGGACATTAACTATATCAGTATGCTGAAGGTTTTCACATGGCAATTTTTCATGTGACCACTAACCAATTCTAGCTTGAAGCCAGCCAAAATGCATTCTTATGTGATCTTGTGAGTCCAGTTACCTCACAATGTTAGTTCACACAGGGATGTTTATCAATGGATGAACATATTGTGAGCTGCCGCATTCCTCTGCAGTTCATCAAATGAAGTTACCTTGTGTGCTGTTTTCTAACAATCCTTTAAGTCTGATTGTGAGCTGATCATGTTCATAGTAGACACATTATGAGCTACTGTAGCAGTAATGCTAATGTTTGACAAGCACTGCATTAAGAGAAGGTGATTAACAGTACACTACATCACATTACCTTATTTAGTTATTGATTCATCTAACACAGATGGACACATCCCACAGCAACCAGGATGGTTGTGACCAAAGCCACAATGACATCAATAGCCTTTTCATTTACATGTAAAAGGTTATTAATGTCAACTAATGGTGGTGCTTACTCTCTCTGCAAATCAACTATAACTCTTGCACTTACATCACTTCTTATTTGTAGAATCAGTTCACCCAAGGTCAATGAAAAGTGAACTGATGGCGACCTTCATGTATCTTGCAATACGTCAATAGAATACATTTAGACTTCTCAAATATGTAGTTTTAAAATGCTTCTGCCAGGGCGCCCGGTTGGCTCAGTGGGTAGAGCTGGCGACCCATGTGCCGAGGCTGAGTCCTTGCTGCAGCGGCCCAGGGTTCCAATCTGACCTGTGGCCCTTTGCTGCGTGTCATCCCCTCTCTCTGCCCCCCTTTCCCGTCTATCTTCAG